TATGGAGTAATAATGTATTAATTGTTAGTACGACTTATGGAGTAATGTGTTAATTGTCAGTACTACTTATGGAGTAATAATGTGTTAATTGTCAGTACGACTTATGGAGTAATAATGTATTAATTGTCAGTACGACTTATGGAGTAATAATGTGTTAATTGTCAGTACGACGTATGGAGTAATAATGTATTAATTGTTGGTACGAATTACGGAGTAATAATCAGTATACATTTTAAACAATATGTATTTGTAATGCTCTTGCATCAAATAAAAGCTTTTAAGATAAACTACAAAATAATGTTCAATTAAAGAAGAATGAAATAAATAAGTAATTTTTTAAGTCAAGGATTGGAAATAGAAATAATGAGCAGAAACTAAGATTACTAACTATTAGGCTTATGGAAAAATAAAAGCTTTCAAGCTTAAGCCAAAATCATTAATTAGTAAATGAGCATTCATCTTTATCAGCCTAAAGTATGCAAGGACATAAATAAATTTATGTATGTCTTTATTTTAATGACATATAGGCTTTTCGTGTACTTTGTCATTAACTATATGTATTATTTGTTAAGCTCTTCCATTGCGTTGGCTTAATTTAAAATAAAAAATCTGATTTAAGTTTAACCATACACATACCGTATTATAATAATAAAATCATAGAAATACAAATATTGAAATACAATAAAAGTATTTTATATCACAGCCATATCATATTTGTGTGTCCTTCATAAACTTCTATGATTCACATATATATATATATCGAGTCTGTTTATCTGTCGATATTTCTCTATTGATTTGGGAATTCATATTGTAGAAGACGAGTTTCCCCATATATAAGGTTTAGGATACAAGACACGATCTCATCAATTCTTAATTTGTTAACGTCACACGTGAAATTTTAATAAAGTGATTCAGTTTCATTTGCTTGCATGAATGTTGTCGACTTTTTCTTGAATTCTGCTTTGTTTTGCACATAACTGGTTAAAAACGATTTGAAAAAATATCTTTAGAAATAAATGTTTAAATATTTTCAGTGCACGAAAAACAAAATAAAACTTCTAAGTTCAATTTATAAACTTTTTACTATCCAATATCAATCTGATTTTCTCCAAATATACTTCCCGATGGATTGTTTATATCTCAAAATTATTTCATTTCCCGTGATATATGAAAGACGCAGTTCCTAAGAACTACAACCCACTACACTGTATACTGCCCTGATGTAACACAATCTTATTATTGTACGGAATATTTATCATATGAATTCAGTTTTATCGGAAGTTTAACAGTGTCTTAATAGATGTTTTTGCATGAGATTGGAAATAGTGTCACAATTCTTTGTTATGAATTACGTGTCATGCTTTTATTTTATTAGACATAACCAAAGATTCACTATAGATAGGATATAAACTCTTCCATTTAAAACTTTCTCTCAGAAAGTAATCACTTTGATATGATTCACAGATGCTTGGAATACCCCAAATATAATACATTTAACACCATTTTCTCAGAACGAAATCATATTGATATTATTCACAGATGCTTGGAATAACCCAAATATAATACATTTAACACCATTTTCTCAGAACGAAATCATACTAATATTATTCACAGATGCTTGGAATAACCCAAATATAATACATTTAACACCATTTTCTCAGAACGAAATAATATTGATATTATTCACAGATGCTTGGAATAACCCAAATATAATACATTTAACACCATTTTCTCAGAACGAAATAATATTGATATTATTCACAGATGCTTGGAATACCCCAAATATGATACTTTGTATACCATTTTCTCAAAATCATGTTGATATATTCACAGATGCTTGGAATACTCCAAATATAATACATTTTTTGTCCATTCTCTCAAAGCATAACCACATTGATATATTCACATGTGCTTGGAATATTTCGAATTCAATATTTGACTGAGGAATAAAGTCCAATTCTAATATTAATATGATTAGTTATTTTCCTTTTACTGGTTTTTAAAACTTTTAGGCTAGGACATGAGCTTTTTTTACCTATTCTTACAGGTCATGCACTCGTGACTTGACATTATAGGATACCTGAATATTACAGTAATTAGTCAGCTAAAACATAATGTTAGGGTGGATTCAACTCTTATAGTTCTACACTATATTGCTGCAATAATTAATACACAGAAACATACAGTTTCAATCCCCCCTCCTCTTTACCTATAGCATATATATATTTATTTATTATTTTTTTCAGATTAAAATTTTTGGGTGAAATAAACTCTAAATTTATCGTCTTTATCAGCTGTCTAGCAATATACAAAGCACGTGAAAACAAAAATTGATGGATAATAAAACTAAAATTGTTTGTTTGTTACGAATTTCGCTCAAAGTTACACGAGGGCTATCTGCGCTAACCGTCCCTACATTAACAGTGTAAGACTAGAGATAAGGCAGCTAGTTATAACTACCCACCACCAACTCTTGGGTTACTCTTTTTACCAACGAATAGTGGGATTGACCGTCACGTTATAACGCCCCCACGGCTGAAAGGGCGAGCATGTTTGGTAGGACGGGGATTCGAACCCGCGACCCGGAGATTACGAGTCGAGCACCCTAACCAACTTAGATTAGACACAAGAAAAAAATATATTACTGTTGTTAGACATTCCAGGTCTATTATTTTGCTTTTCAAAGTTCGTCCTCGCCTATTCAGCCGTGGAGGCGTTACAATGTGACGGTCAATCTCATTATTCGATGATAAAACGGTAGCCCAAGAGTTTTGGCGGTGGGTGCTTCTGACTAACTACCTTTCCTCTAGTCTATATGTTCAAAATTAGGAACGGCTAGCACAGATAGCTATCGAGTAGCTTTGAGTGAAATTCAAAACAAACCAAACCAGTCCAAATTTCATCTCCTCGGGGGCTAATAAGACACTTATTGGTAAAAATTAATTAAAACTGTATAGCTATACAAATTGTATTAAAAGTATATGAAAAACTGAATAGATCAAAATAATTTACGAATAAGGCAAAAAAACATCAATTTTTGTATAGTGAATATTTTCATGCTTGTTTATAGATGGGTTAAGACAGAAAAATTAAATGAATGATTTATTCACAGCCGTGAATTTGTCCATTTGGAAAGTACCGAAATTCCGAGCTCAGTTGAACACTACCTACTATATCATTACTGTCCAATATCACACTTTCAGGAATTGTACTTTAACATATTTTTCTTTAGAACGTGCCTATAAACTCTAGTAAACCGACATTCTGAGCCACTGAAGTGCCACTAATCATGTACTGGAAATATTACATAGCCATGTTTGATTATTTTTAATTTTACCTCCCTTTTCACAAGCACTTTACGTTTGTTTGTTTGTTTCGAATATTAGCACGAAGCTACACAAAGGCCACGTACGCAGGCCATCTCTAATTTTGAACAGATTGACCGGAGGCAAGGCAGCTAGGCATGTCCGTCCACCGCCAACTTTTAAGCTATTCTAATCGAAATGTAAAATTTGACCGTTACTCTTATAACGCACCCTTAGCCGCAAAGAGTGGAACTAAATTTTGCAGCAACGGGATACGAACCACGGGCCTTCAGATTCACATGCTAACAGAATGTAATTTCTGTATTTTTGTTTTATTAAGCCTTACTGAAAGCTTTTTCTAGCTATGATTAGAAAATATCTGACTAAACGAAGGAAACGTGTACTTTCATTCGCTACATTAAAGTATTGGCTGTTCATAAAAATTCCCTTAGAATTTTTCCTTACTGTTGTTTCTCTCTGTTTATGAGGTTCACAAGGCAGGGTACAATTTAAGGAAGTGTTTACCAAACGAGGGGACTGAGACCCCCAGCGCACTCACGGCTCCAAAATTCGGAGCGCGTTTTTTGTACAAACGGGACGCGAACCATGAATTCATTGATTCACAGTCCGGGCACGCTAACCACTAGGCCATACCCGACTACACAAAAAACGAAGATAAATGTTTTCTGTAGACCTACGCCCCCTAGTGGCACAGCGGTAAGTCTGAAGGCTTATAATGCTAAAAACTAGGTTTCAATACCCTTGGCGAGCATAACACAGATAGCCCATTGCATAGCTTTGTACTTAACTACAAACAAACAAACTTTAGGTCTACAGAAAATGTGAAATTATGTTAATTGTTCAGTAGGAATGTAAAATAAATATTAATAAACTGGACCACTAAGTTCTAAAACAAGACAAATAAACGTATTTATACGACAGCCTTTTAAAACTTGCAGGATCTGTTTATTGCACGAAGATCATACCCGATGAACAAAATACTTGTAATGTAGATGATGCCTAGTTATACGTTTTTGACGATGTAATATTTTATCACCAGTGTCATATATACATATATTCCGTTTGATGATGTCAAAATCCTCATTTACTGGGGCTTTAAGACTATTCAATATTTGTACAAATTATTATGCATGTGTATACTCATTAGATGTGTAAGTTTTTCTAAAGGAAAATAATAGCGAGACGGAACGGATTTCGATAAAATTAATGGCATTATTATTGAGATTTGAGGCCTTAGAAACCACATAACTAAAGCAGTTAGTATTGAGGAGATGTGAACATGTGTTCGAAATCCGCTCGAGTTCAGTTGTAACTTAAAACGAAAAGAAAAAAGAAATAGCATAGAACGGTGTGATACTCTCAACTTTGCTATCACAGGAAGGAAAAGTTAGTCCATCATATTTTAGATAATACCGTCGGTATAGTCAGTGTTTTCACTTTCTTTAAGCAATAGTAAAATTAGACTCAACTCCACTTGCTTGTAACTGGTGATCGCACTGTAAAGAACACTTATAAGAACAATGTTTGGATTTCTCACCCGTAGCTTAGTAAACTATAATAACACAGGAAACTTGAGAAATGTGTGGACCTTCCCTTATTGAACCTATAGCGTGTAGTAAAACTAGTTTTTAATGTATTTAACAGTTAAGGAAGGTTTTCAAACCCTAAGCAGTGATGAAGACAAAATTATTTTCAAGACACTCTTACACTGGTAAAGAGAAGTTTCTGAACGTCACAACGAGCTGTAGTTCACCCAGATCCCAAACGGTCCCTCAAGATGACCAGAAAGAGGAAGTCTACACCGTTTCGAATTCTTCAGGAGAATCCCATGCCATTACGACCAGTTCTACTTTCCCTGAGACTTCAGCTTCTTCCACAGACATGGACCGATCAGGAGGTAGACCGGACAGCGAGGGAGGGTCCAATGATGAAGACCTGTACTCTGATAAGCCTCGGAAGATTCGGAGGAGCAGGACAACTTTCACAACCTTTCAGCTCCACCAGTTGGAGCGTGCTTTTGAAAAAACTCAATATCCTGACGTCTTTACCCGCGAGGAGTTGGCCATGCGCTTGGATCTCAGTGAAGCACGTGTTCAGGTAAATATTTATATTTCTATGATATTCAGAATATTAAACTAAGGATCATGAATGTTTAGAGAATACAGAGCTTGATAATATGAAATATACAAAGTTATGTTATTTCAAGCGTATTTAGGTGTAGTGAGCTCATTTCAGGTTGATAAATACAATTATAAGTATCCTTTTATTTTAATTATAAGGAAACACGGTCGTATTCTTTTGAACGAAATAACCAAGATGTCGCTAACACTAACACACGTTAAAAATCAGACTGTATTGTTAGAATTACTTTCGAAAAAAATACCTGCGTTGCTATGTGCCCAAATCATTATTGACCTTACGAATCATATAATTTGTTTTGATATCTAAACTGAAATCAGTTACCTTGTACTGATAACTCGAATACAATTATTTCAGCGTAGCAGCATACTCAGTTAGTTCTTTCACAAACTCGTATAACATTTAAGTTGAGACATTGGGACAAATTAGAAGATTTCAGCATAGAAAAACACTCAGTCAGTTCTTTCATAATATTATGTAAAATTTGAGATATCAGGATAAATCAAATTATTTCAGCGTAGCAATATACTGAACTCATTAACAATTTCATGGATGCCAAAATATAATGTATTAGAATAAGGTACAAACTTTAATCTCGGACATCAGTGTACATTCATAATATTTTCAATTTGTATTTACATTCTCTAAAACAGAAGACCTGGGGCGTTATAACGTGACGGTCAATCCCACTAATCGTTGGTAAAAGAGTAACCCAAGAGTTGGCGGTGGGTGGTGATGACTAGTTGCCTTCCCTCTAGTCTTACACTGTTAATATAGGGACGGCTAGCGCAGATAGCCCTCGTGTAACTGAGCAAAATTCAAAACCAACAAAATAACTTAAAGAAAAGGTGATGTCACTGCTACAGTTTATTTAGAAGCACAGTGCAGTTGATTCTTATATAAGAAACATTTGGGTGGTGGATATCGTTCTTAAATGATTTACTTCAAAAACAAAAAAATACATTTAAAATTTTTCACGCAAACTGACCTGCAGACAGCGGTTTCAAGAGGTGAAATAGTACTCAGGCATGAAAACTTTAATTTATTTTTCGTTTAGGACTTTTTGTTTTATTTTGAAGTACAGATATGTATTTCATAGTTTACTTTTACATCGTTCCTTTAGTGATTAATCGAATTTGGTCAAAATGTTATCAAAAATAATTATATAGCCAGTTTTGATTTTCTAAACTATATTAACTAACACGTGTACCTCATATATCTCATTTAAAGTTACTTATTAATCTTAGCCTAATTTCCTTCTTGTATTTTACGGATTGTGTTTGAGCTGACCAAAAATGTGTGACATTAAAACCAGACTTAGTTAGCAACTTTTCTATTTTGGCCTTTTTTTTACAAAATTATAGTTGTCAAAATAAATCTCTGACGCTTAGTTTGACGATTTATCTGTAATCGTAGAAAATATTGTAATATATGTTTTTTTTTCAAAACCTAAAATCTTGATAACAGAATGTAGCAGAAAAAAACGTATTTAAGGCTCATTGCTCTTTGAGTAAGTACAAGTAAACGTTTAGCAACAACAGAAGTAAGGATCTAGCTAGTTTTAAGATTACTAGGATGATAAAAATACAGGTACTGAATTTTTCAAGCATTGATAATAAATATGAGCATGTTTGGGATTTGAGGACATTTTAGTTTATTCAGTACCATCCACTAACTGTTTAACATATTGTTGGAGGAACAATTTGACCATACTCAAATACGACTTGTGGGACCACAAGGATGCCATGAGGTGTTTAAATGTGTGGAATTTGAAGACAAGTAAATAACAAAGACAAGACCATGTGGAAAAGGGAAGACTATCCGCTAGGGAGTACAGATAAATTAGTTAATAAGCATAAGAAAATGGAGAGGTGAGGGGTTAAATCTGGTTAACATATGGGCAGTGAAAGAGAAATTTCATGTTCACATTATACGTCATTGAATGTGTTTAAGGAACTCAAAACTCAAAGAAAAGCTATGCCAAGTACGCCATTAAACTCAGACCGTTATCCTATCAACTAGCCATTCAACAATGTGTCATGACACTTCATTAAACTCAGACCGTTATTCTATCAACTAGCCATTCAACAATGTGTTATGACACTTTATTCAACTCAGACTGTTATCCTATCAACTAGCCATTCAACAATGTGTCATGACACTTCATTAAACTCAGACCGTTATCCTATCAACTAGCCATTCAACAATGTGTCATGACACTTCATTCAACTCAGACTGTTATCCTATCAACTAGCCATTCAACAGTGTGTTATGACACTTCATTAAACTCAGACCGTTATCCTATCAACTAGCCATTCAACAATGTGTCATGACACTTCATTAAACTCAGACCGTTATCCTATCAACTAGTCATTCAACAATGTGTCATGACACTTCATTAAACTCAGACCGTTATCTTTCCAACTAGTCATTCAACATTTTAATATGACACTTCATTAAACTCAGATCGTTAGCCTTTCAACTGACAATCAATAATGCCGTACGACACTTCATTAAATTAAGACTGTTAACCTATCAACTAACTATAAACAGGTAATTAAAATAAGATTACACATAAAAAAGACACTTTTTAATTCATTAGTTTCTAAACCATAGTCTAGGTCTGAAACCGAATTAAACCTTAATTACTACAATGAGATCCAGATGACCCAAGCGATTTTATTTTGTTAAAAACTAATTTTATTATTTTATAATAATAGTGAGATATTTTGAATTATCAAACTTAAAAGAAGTTTTTAATACAATTAATACTTTTTTAAAATATATTATAGATACTTTAAATAAATACTTACAGGTAAGGATTCATACATGCGTAAACACTTTAGTGTGTATTCTGAATGATTTTTAGATTAACTTAATTGTGGTATGTGCTAACAATGTCTCAAATGGTCATTCACAAGTAACTTAGTAACAATAGGGAACTTGTTTGATATTTGGTGTTTTCAATCAGAACGGCACCTTAAGCGACACGAGGATTAAGCAGGAATATCAGAAATCCCGAAGTTCAGATATGGCAATTTCTAAGTTAAAACTACTGGCTAGAGGAACGGCAATCAGTCATTAACACTCTCCACTTACACAGCTAGTAACTGATTTAACTGTCACAGTTGTAACGACTCAACAGATGAAATTGTAGAATGTGTTTAACAGCATATTGCGGCTCGAACCTAAGATCTATTGATGAACAGCCCGACACGCTAACACTAGGCCAAGCCAACTAAACAAATGACAAGTTATCAACTTAAATCACTGGCTTTTGGACTTGTATAATGAACAATTGACATCATCAACCACATGTGGAATTTTTCACAATCAAAGCTCTTTGACGATGATCACAAAAAAGCGAAATAAGCACATTTTTGTTGTATTTCAGTGGGGAAAATACAAATAAAACATATTTTGACTCTCTCTCTGATATTTACATCCCACGACCCGAAATCTCGAACCTGTTTATATGAGTTTACTTGTGCTTGGAACCAAATTTATCTAAATTACCCACCTAGAAACAATGTATCTTAGAGTTCTTAAATTTTAATCTGATTCTACTTGCCTGGACATATGTCTCTTGGAGTACTACTTAAGAACGTATTCTAAAAAATTCCTAAACAATATTCAAATATATAATTGTTTAAGCAGGGAAGAATCTGAATCTCCCTTTTCGAATGAATATCCCTCATAATATCATTTAAAGGTTTAGTCTGAATTTCCTTATTCGAATGGATATCATTCAGAATTTCACTTAAAAGTTTAGTCTGAATTTCATTATTCGAATGGATATCATTCAGAATATTACTTAAAAGTTTAGTCTGAATTTCCTTATTCGAATGAATATCCTTCAGAATATCACTTAAAAGTTTAGTCTGAATTTCCTTATTCGAATGAATATCCCTCATAATATCACTTAAAAGTTTAGTCTGAATTTCCTTATTCGAATGGATATCATTCAGAATATTACTTAAAGATTAGTCTGAATTTCCTTATTCGAATGAATATCCCTCATAATATCACTTAAAAGTTTAGTCTGAATTTCCTTATTCGAATGGATATCCTTCAGAATATTACTTAAAAGTTTAGTCTGAATCTTCCTGTTTGAAACTATCTCTTAGGGGTTTACGTAATAAATCTTATTTAAGTCTAGTTGTCTAGCTGAGTACCTCTTTATTGCTGTAAAATGGGATGAATCTGCCTGTCTGGTTGGGTATATATCATAGATAGTCATTCAGTGGATATTCTCTGAATATAACCGTCTGAACTGCTGGGTCTTGGACTATTTTATATTTAAGTATTTTATCTGAATTAAAGTGCCTTGTTGAATATCGTTTGGATTATTAATTAAAAAATCAATGAGTACCTGTCTGATTAGATATGTATCATAGATATCCAATTAATGGATATTCTATGAATTTAACAGTCTGAATTACTGTATCTTGGACCATATTATGCTTAAGTATTTTATTTCAAGTGTTTTGTTGGATATCCTTTATATTATTAATTAAAGGCTTAATGATTCTACCTGTTTGTAGGGGTATTTTTTGGATTATTACTTGAAGAGATGAAATGGATCCTTCTTCTGCCTGATTTGTTACTTCTTGGTGTACTATAAAACAGTGTTCGTAAAGTGTCGTTTCGCTCCATTTTTATATTGAATCACGTTATAAAAGTGAATAAGATAAAGAAAGATAACAGATAGATTTAATTACTTTTCAATTTGAGCTAAGCCTTATTTTGAGGCACTGCAACGGACATGCAAGAATTCAAACAGTACCTTTTTTATATCACAAATATACTAATTACTTTAGTTAGCCCAAACATGCACTCACATTTCTTTGCTTACTGCATGTGTCTATAAGGTTATTGACTATACATGTTATAATGTCGGCGTTGCTATATGAAATAAATATACATAATTAATGTATTGGAAATTTGAAACAGACATA